GTTTTTATTTGCCCCTGTTTTTCTTTTTTTCTTAGAAATTTTTTAATCATAATACAGGATACAGCTTCCTAAGAACCACTGTTTGAACTCAGTAAGTGAAGAGTTCAAGCTCCAAAGACTCAGATTCCTACATCCAGATTCCTGTGCAGATTAGGCCCTGCCCAGAATCACCTTGATCAGACACAGAGGGGAAGCAGAAGACAGACCGACCCTCAAGAGACTTGAGTTCCTCAAGTATTAGCTGAGGTTGTGAAGAAACTGAAGCTCTGTGCACTGTTGGTGGTAGTGTTGCAGGAAGGGGGATCCCTTCCAGGGCCCAAAACTGGGCTCTTGTCCAACACTCGGAAATGATTATCCGAGGAGACACATGTGCTGACAGAGCAAGAGATTTTATTGGGAAAAAGGCGCCCGGGTGGAGAGCAGTAGGTAAGGGAACCCAGGAGAACAGCTCTGCCGCGTGGCTTACAGTCTCGGGTTTTATGGTGATGGGATTAGTTTCCGGGTGGTCTTTGGCCAACCATTCTAATTCAGAGTCTTTCCTGGTGGCGCACACATCGCTCAGCCAAGATGGATGCTAGTGAGAGGGATTCTGGGAAGTGGACGGACACGCGGTGTCTCCTTTCAACCTTTCCCAAACTCTTCCGGTTGGTGGTGGCTTATTAGTTCCGTAATACTTATCAGGATCTCCTGTCATAAAACAACTCATGCAAATGGTTACTATGGTGCCTGGCCAGGGTGGGCGGTTTCAGTCAGTGTGCTTTCCCTAACAGTATTGTAAAGTGGTGTCAACTCTATGGAAAACAGTATGGCGGCTCCTCAAAAACTTAAAACTATAACTACCATTTAATCCAGCCATCCCACTTCTTGGTATATATCTGAAAGAAATGAAAGCAGGGCCTCAAAGAGATATTTGTACACCCATGTTCATAGCAGTGCTATTCACAATAGTCAAGCTGTGGAAGCAACTCAAATGTCCACTGACAGATGAATGGATAAACAAAAACTGGTATATTTTGTTATATTCCATACAACATTTCAAAGGAAGGAAATTTTGTCACATACTACAACACAGATGAACCTTAAAGACTTTATGCTAAGTCAAGTAAGCCAGTCACAGAAAGACAAAATCTGTATGATTCACTAGTATGACATACCTTAGAAGAGTCAAATTCATAGAAACAAAGTAAAATGGTGGTTACCAGGGGCTAGAGAGAAGGGAGAAAGGATTTGTTTAATGTGTATTGAGTTTCATATTTGCAAGATTAAAAAGTTCTGAAGATCTAATTTACAACAATGTGAATACACTTAACACTACTGAATGCCATACTTAAAAAAAGCTAAGATGGTAAATTTTATGTTCTGTGCTTTTTACCACAACAGAAAAGGGAAAAAAAAAATGATAGAGATTTGAGTTCCTTCCTGCCTGACCCGACCCTTTTGACTTTGTAACTTTGGAAAGTCGGCCTCAGTCTCCATTTCCCTACCCTACTTAGATTTTGTAGTTACTATAAATATAAATGAAATCATTTGTGTGAACATTTTTCATAAACTATATGGACCTACCAAGATGGAAACCATTATTGTCAAGGAGGAAAGGGAGGAGAATCAGCCCTGGAGAACAGACCTGCCTCTCAACATTGCATCCCACGTAGGTACTCTTACCCAGAATGGGAATGAAGAGCAGAACTAAACATCAGGCATGCACCTCAAAGAGAAGGGGCTCACTGTGGCTTGCTGAGTCCCCTCCACAGGGTCATGAGCAGGGTGACAGGAATAGAGCTGCTGTTTCAAAGAACGGTTTAAGAGAGCCTGGCAGTGGCAGATGCTGCATGTTCTGCAGATAGCAGCTGAGGTTGCAAACCAAAGGGCCGTATTGTTGTGCACCTAATGTAGAGGGGACTCTTGATCAGAGACTCCATATTAAACAGAGCTGGGCATACATAAAGCCAGCAATTTCCTTTTCTACCTTTAAATTTATGTCTTACAAATGTCAAATGACTGACTTGTTCTCATTTTAAAACTTGTGTTTTTCAGATTGATGGTTTACTTGACAATCCTCAATAGAAGTTTTGAGCATTTCAGTTTTAGTTAGGCATTTTTGGTTGAGTTAAACAGAGGCACCCAAGAAAATGCATAGAATAGGGTGTACATTATTATGAAGATACACATGGGATGATAAAGGAAGACTGTAACTCTAATAATAGCATTGGTGAAAATGCGGATCTGGATTCACAGTCACATTCTCGGATCTTCACATGGGTGTTATACATAAATCTAGCTTAGCTAAACTCTACTCTCTGCTTCTTCCTATCCTGTAGCAACTGGAAAATTCTGTGTTTCTTAGTTTAGATTGATAAATTCATTTTTCAATCCAGGCCACAGAGTCATGGGCTAGGTATGAGGTAGGTACTCTTAGGGTTAGCCTTCAGCTGGTGGTAAGATGGGGAGAGGGGATCAAGGTCAACACAAAATTGCTGCTTCAAAGGCAGGAGCTGTGGGCAGAGCAGTTTCCTTTAGAAAGGGTTATGTGTGTTAGGTGGACTTCCCAGATGGCACTCGTGATAAAGAACCCGCCAGCCTATGCAGGAGACCTAAAGAGATGCAGGTTCGATCCCTGGGTGGGAAAGGTCCCCTGGATGAGGGCACTCTAGTATTCTTGCCTGGAGAATCCCTTGGACACAAAGAGTCACAAAGGTTTCAGACACAACTGAAGCGACTTAGCACACAGCACACATGGTGTGTTAGGTAATGATTAACATTGGGGTCTTTGGGCAGATTCCATAAATAACAACCCTCTTACCCTCCTAAGAAATAAAACAAAAGAGTTAGGGAGACTCTAGAGATTAAATATTACCTTTAATTCTGACAAAGGCTAACTTGGAAGATACAGGTAGGTTTTAGGGCAAGGGGTTCTGCTAGATGAACCCCAGAATTATGCTGACTTCCCCATTCAGTCACAGAAATTACCAAACCAAGCAGAACACCCCACATAGGATGGTTTTCTAGAGAAGGCCTGACACAGAAGAGCAGAGAAGAATCCCTGTTTCCTTCAGACACTCTGATCCCCAAAGAAAAAACTGAGGAGCTAAGCAATGCATGCCCAGTTTCTTCCCAAGTTTACCAATCAAAATCGTCCCCCTCTCCTAGGGCAGAATAAGTAGAAAGAGGCCTGGAGTGCTACAGTAACTGAGCTCCCTGCACATGGAAGGAAACATCAAAAGGAGAGAAGAGATATCCCCCTAACAAGTGGTACTACTATTAATGTCACAATTTCAACAGTGATCAACTAAGAACAAAAGGACAAATAAAAGAGCATATTATCACTTTTTAAACTTAAAAAACAGAGTAATAGGTTAAAAGCCTTAGCAAGAATGCATTAGTTTGAAAGAGAAGGATTATTGTGGTGGCTCTTGGTAGCAAGGTGTAAATGCAAAGAAATATTGAGCTGGCCAAAACATTCATTTGGGTTTTCCATAGGATGTTCTGGAAAAATCCACATGAACATTTTTGGCCAACCCAGTAGGATTTGGAGTCAGAATGGGAGAAATAATTCAATTGGATGGTTAAAATACTGATTTTGATAATTAGTTAAATAGAATCTACCTCTTTGGATTTTTGGTGATGATTAAATAAATTAATACATATAAAGCTCTTAGCACTGTGCCTGGTACCTAGTTTTGCCCAATAAATGTTAGTACTTATGTGATGAAGAAAGCAGTGTTTCTATAAAAAGATTGTGGTAGGAAGATGGGCAATGCTTACAATGCTTTCTAGGCTTCATATGTGAACTAACAAGCCCAGAAAACATTCTACTTGATTTAGTTTAGCAAATGGGTGATAAATTCATTTATGTTATCAGTTGTTTGACTTTAAATGTCTTTAGTGTAATAATGCCTTTAATATAATATCTTAGGCTTCCCTGATAGCTCAGTTCGTAAGGAATCTGGCTGAAGGTCCACTGGAGAAGGGATAGGCTACCCACTCCAGTATTCTTGGGCTTCCCCTGTGGCTCAGCTGGTAAAGAATCTGCCTGCAATGAGGGAAACCTGGGTCAGATCCCTGGGTTGGGAAGATCCCCTGGAGAAGGGAAAGGCTACCCACTCCAGTATTCTGGCCTGGAGAATTCCATGGACTGTATGGTCCATGGGGTTGCAAAGAGTTGGACACGACTGAGTGACTTTCACTCACTGTATACCTTAAAAGCACTAAATATGGTGTTTTTCCATAAAACTTTGCCTCATTTAAATCTCTATTTCTCACTCTTTGTTGTACTTTCATGTCTGTTTCTTATTTTATTCATTCACTAAACATGATCATATAAATATAAAACATTACCTAGAATTCTGTATTTCTTATTAATTAAAATGTAGGTAATAAATAAAGCAGGGTGTTATGAACTGATGTGGAAAACTATTCTAGATGTTATGATGACTGAAGAAACCAAATAGCACAACAGTATGTCTAGTGTAATTTCATTTAGGAAGGAAAGGAAGGAAAAGAAAGGGAGAGAAAAAAGAGAAGAAAGAAAAAGGGGAGAAAAGGAGAAAGGGAGGAAGAAAGTAAGGCACAGCAAGGAATCAATCAATGTCTAAATATAGATAAAAGGGTAGAGGAAGTTCTGGAAAGATCTCTGAGAAACCATTATCAGGAAGAACAAGAATGAAATTTGTGGGAGGCAGGGCATCTGGAAGCAAAGGGCATATTTAATTTTGACTCGGTATTTGGATTTTTAATAACAGGATATATGCATTTTAGCACCTCTATAATTTTAGAAATGTAATAGAGAAAATGGAATAACAAATAGTTTCTCCCACAAATGAATTGGGATGACGACGATGATGACTGTCTTTGGGTTCAGTTGCCTGCCGTTTCCTAGATCTAGGTTTTGTTGTTGTTCTTTTGATCGCAGTACCTAGACTAGCCTGGTCCCAAGGCTGCTCTCTTTTCTGCCGGGCACGCTTTCGGTCCTGTTGATGGTGTCCGGTGGATGTTCCCCGCAGGGGTCCCTGAAAGCCTGCATCCTCGCCCGGGACTGCGCCACGGCCGCCGCCGTCGTGTTTCTGAGCGACCGTCTCCTGTACGGGCTCGACGCCTCGGGCCAGCTGCTGCGCGTCGCCAAAGCGCTGCACAGGCTGCAGCCCGCGACGCCCATCGCCCCGCAGCTGGTCGTCCGCCAGGCCCGAATCTCGATGCACGAAGGTAGGCGTCCTCTGGCCGGCCCCCCAGGTCCCGGCCGCGCCTGGTCCGGGGCGCGTCTGCCCCCGGGGCTCCTTAACTTCCGCGGGGCCGGCGGGAACCGAGGCCCGCGGGCCTCCCGGTGCCGCCTCCCGCGCTCCCGCCGGCCGGCCTGCCGCGGCGCCCTTCCACCCGCCTCTCGCCAGCACAAAGGCCCTGGCATAAAGGGTTTCAGAGCCAAAAGCAATAGAGAAAATTGTGAAAGGGGGTGGAAAATACTAATTGGAGCTTTTGTCGTCTAACAAATCTGTCCCGCTGCTTTCAAACAGGGGTATCTGAATTGCTATACTTCTGACCAAAGAGCCTTTAAAAAGCAGATTAGAATTCTACTATTTTCTCTTAGCTCTCCTGTCTCCTTTCTGTAGGGCCACTTGACTATGCTAACAATAGAGCTGACAAACCCACTGAAGTAATTTGAGATTTTTTTTCCATCACTAGGAGCACCGGTACAGTACCTGATTAGGCCTTAAAGTATCTTTTTTTTTTCCTTCTGTCACTCTGAATGAAATGAAAAATGAGGCTGACGTTCTGAGGCTGTAATGTAGAGGAGGGCTGGTGGGAGCAAGGGGCCTGCTCTGTGTTACAGCAAAGTTCACTTCCATAGAATTCTTGAATTATTTAAATCACTGATAACCATAAGATTTAGAAACCTGTAGCCTGCCGTACTCATTTCTAAGACTGAAAGGGTAAAGGACAAAAATAGAATGCAAGTTGCCTCTCCCAGAAACAGAACTGGCTCATTTTTAAAACTGAGTTTAGTTATTGCTATTGTTTTAATAACTCTGGACTTGAAGAGGTTAAAATATCTTTTGACTACTTCATTTCCTTTGAAAAGGAACTGTACTGACTATACTGAATGAGACAGTCGCTGAATACAGAGAGGGGAAGAGATAAAAGGACATGAGAGAAATGGGCTTGTGGAGGCTAACTTTTCAAAAGCCCAAGCTCATTCACTCTCAAGTTCTTGCAGCTGTGTGTAAATTGTACCCGGGTCTTATTATATAGTTTTCTTTTTTTATTATTATTATATAGTTTTCTAAAGTAACTACATCAACAGAGTTGAACTTAGGGGAAAAAAAAGTCTTAATTCAAATGTCCATAATTGGGGACATTTTTATAATGCTTGGGGTTTATCATCTTTAAGGTATGAGAGAAACTTAACCGCTAATATTCCTTCTGACAGCATCAGATAGAATGATGTGTCAGCAGAATGTTCTACGGTGAGGGGGCGGTGGCACCCAAAATGACGGCTGGGTGTGGGCAGGCAGTGTTCTAATGTTTGTTCTCATTAAATAGAGCTTGGAACAGAGGGCATGTTTTATAATACACTGATCTGCTGTAGTGTGACTTGTTAATCAAGGTCAAGTTGGTAGGCAGGCGTGTTGATAGCTTTGCTTTACACAAGCAAATAATCTTTTCACTTATTTGGTTGGTTGGTTGGTTGGTTGGTTCTCACACCTCTAACCAAGGTAGTATAGAACTTTTCTCCTGATGATGGGTTAAGCCTTGATATCATCATGAGCAGTACACCTCTCTGCCCACATATCATATGTCTAAGGTAAAAGTCCTAGATCCTATTCTCCAGCAGTTGGAGTTGTCGTTTCCTCAAAGATACTGCCAGAAGTACCTGAGGAAAACAAACCCAGCCGCAGGATTAGGTGCTTACTTGTAAACATCTGCCCCCAAACATCTCTTGAGCCTCTACCTACGCTGGGTTTCCCGGAGAGAAAGGGAGCCTTAGAGCAGGGGCGGTGTCCTGGAAAGCAAAGAAGGTACAGGGGAGGGCATCTCAGTCCCCAGCATTTGGGAAACCCTGATGCACGAGAGGTGTGTGTGTGATACTGTACGGGTAAGGAAATAATACGAGGGCACAGCACAGTCTTCCTGTTTTGCCCTTTGACCCAGCCTTCCTGGTATCCACTCAAAATCCATTCCAAAGGTCTAAGTATTCAACATCATGAGACTTCAGAGGCAAAAGAGGATGCCCTGGGCCTGCTCAGCTCACTCTTGCCTGAAATTAGATAAAACCTTTCAAGCCACAATTAGAGATAAAGAGTCAGACTTACAGTTCCATCAACGTGGAGAATGTGGAATCTTCTCCCATTACATAAATATAGTAAATTAAATGTTTTTAAATGCACAAAAGATGTTCAAAGTCAGAATAATAGATTACTGCTCCTGACACTATACCAAAGGGATTTACACTTGGATACAGTCTAAGGGAAGGTATTGCCACTTTAATTCCTGTGCAGAGACAGGGCCTTGGGCTTCATGGGTGAAATATTTGCATAAAATTCTTAAAATTTTGCACAGCTATGAAATGGGACTGAACAGCTCTACCAACCCAGCCAGAGAAGTGGGGGAGGGAAGCTTCCTCTCTGCCCAAGCTCTGAGATGAAAGCCAAATATATATATATATATTTTGTTGTTGTTCAGTCACCCAGTCATGTCAGACTCTTTGTGACCCCATGGACTGCAGTACTCCAGGCCTCTCTGTCCCTCACCATCTCCCGGAGCTTGCCCAAGTTCATGTTCATTGCATTGGTGATGCCGTCAAGCCATCTCATCCTCTGATGCCCTCTTCTCCTTTTGCCCTCGATCTTTCCCAGCATCAGAGACTTTTCCAATGAGTTGTCTGTTTGTATCAGATGATCTAAATACTGGAACTTCAGCTTCAGGATCAGTCCTTCCTGTGAATATTTAAGGTTGATCTCCCTTAAGATTGACTAGTTTGATCTCCTTGCTGTCCAAGGGACTTTCAGGAGTCTTCTCCAGCACCACAGTTTGAAGGCATCAATTCTTTGGTGCTCTGCCTTCTTTATACCTCCAGCTCTCACAACCATACCTGACCACTGGGAAGACCATAGCCTTGACTATATGGACCTTTGTCGGCAGAGTAATGTCTCTGCTTTTCAACACACTGTCTAGGTTTGTCATTGCTTTTCCTGCCAAGAAGCAATCGTCTTCTGATTTCATGGCTGCAGTCCCTGTCCGAAGTAATTTTGGAGGCCGAGAAGAGGATATCTGTCCCTACTTCCACCGTTTCACCTTCTATTTGCCATGGAGTAATATATTTGTATATATCCATCCAAAAAGAAATAGCAACAGGTCTGTGCCAGGTGCCTGTGTGGAGTCTGAATTTACCCACAATGAATCCCCCACCAAGTAATTAAGAGAAAACTAATTCAGTACTGAAATTTCTGGGACCTAGTTGATCAAGTATAAGCCTATGCTCCAGAGAAACATCCACACTCCAGAGGTGTCTCTTAATGTCCAGACCAGAAAAGTACAGTGTCATTTCTGCCACATCCTTTGTCCACAGTAGGTCACAGGGCCAGTTCAGGCTCAAGGAGAAGGAAAATAAGTTCTAGATTCTACTTCTTGTTGGAGTAATGGCAGGTCACATTGCAGAAGAACATGTGGGTTGGAAGAGATTGTTGTGACCACCTTTGGAACACACTCTGCCACAATCAGGTATATGTCTGTGTGTGCACTGTGAAATAGGGTGGTCAGGGAAGGCCTTATGAGACAGTGAAGTGACATTTGAGCAAAGACCTAAAGGAGAAGGGAGCAAGCCTTGTAGATATCTGAGATAAAAACATTCCAAACTAAAATAATTGTTAATACAAAGACCCTGACACGGGAGCAAGCCTGACAGGTTCAAGGGATAGTCGGGAAGCCGCTATCACCAAAGTAGGAGTGAGGATGAGGGAAAGAAGGTAGAGATGAGGTCAAAGAAGTCCCAGGGGCCAGACCATGGAGGGCTTAGAGGGACGTGGAAGCAGAACTGAATAAAAGGATAAGTGATTGCGATTCCTACTTACATTCATAGGTTAGGCCTATGCATTAGGTTAGGCCTATGAATTCATAGGTTAGGCCCCTCCTGTGTGGTGTTGATGAAGTCAGTGAAAAGTTTGCAAAGAACTTCTCTACCAACCCCCTAAAAAATTCCTTCCTGATAATTCTATGGTGGTTTAGTCGCTAAGCTGTGTGCAACTCTTTGCGACTCCATGGACTGTAGCACACCAGGCTCCTCTGTCCATGGGGTTTCCCAGGCAAGAATCCTGGAGTGGGTTTTTTGTTTCCTTCTCCAGGGGATCTTCCTGACCCAGAGATTGAACCTGGGTCTCCTACATTGCAGGCCATCTCCTGCATTGCAGGCGGATTCTTTACCAATTGAGCCACCAGGGAAGCCCTAATAATTCTATAAATAGTCCACTTCACAGGCAACTCAACTCTACTTTTGGACTAGAGTCCTGGCATAGTTTTCACAAGAAAGAGATGCAGCCTCTGAGAAAGGTTTGCCAATACTTCTCAAGCCTTACTCTGTATGAATGGATTATTTATTCATATAAATGAATATGTGTGTATACATATACACATGTGTATATACATGTGAGTCTAATTGCAGGTTCAGTTACTATGTAACTTCCCGTCTTACCAATTCCTGAAAGCTGCATCTTCTTTTCACTTTTGTGTATGATGCGGTTACTGATTTTAAATTTTAAAATAGGATGTTTCCCTGTTATAATGTGTTAACCTTAGAGCATGAACAGCAGTAGTATTTAAAGCACGTGTTCAAAACTGATTATGTGACATTTGGTTGCTTCTTTTCAGGGAAACTTTTAAAAGCAGAGTATATCCTGAGCAGTCTAATAAGCAACAATGGAGCAACGGGTAAGGTGCTCTCGTATCTTCACCATAACCTTCATGCACTGTCCCTACCGGAGTTCCAGCTTAGAAATAACCTAAGGGTCTCGTAGTTACTGTACGCTGGATATTACCAGAACTCCCTGGAACTGGCTCTGCCCCTGATGAAAGAAGTGGCTTCGGCCAAGCAGTCTACTTCTCTGTTTCCATTTTCTCTTATTAAAAATGAAAACAAAACAACCACGTCTTCTAATATTGCCCTGCTTTATTGTGGAGTGTGGTGCCTAATCAGCATTAGCTGTGAAAGTAGGTAACTCCCTGGGCTTCAGAAAAGGCTCAGCTGAAGCTTTGTAAAGAATTGTGAATGGAAATTGAGCCTGTAAGTTCAGGAGAATACACTTACAGTTTTATGTATTTAAGTGATCTGAAAAATAAACTGTATTTGGCTACAGAGAAAATGTAGTAAAAACTTATTTTGAAATGGATTTCTTAGACTAGTTAATCATACATGAAAGGAAGGAAGTCCTAATAGTTGAGTAACAAGTAATTTAAGCCTCAGATATCTTGTCTGAATTTCTGGGTGCTTAAGCCAACAAGTTTCCCAACAAGTTGAACACAATTCCCAGTCAAATTTTTTCATTCCTATTTTTTGGCTGTGCCATACACAGCCTGTGGGATCTTAGTTCCTGGACCAGGGATTGAACCCATGCCCGCTGCAGTGGAAGTGCAGTATCTTAACCACTAAAGCGAGGCAAGTCCCCTAGTTGACTTTTAAGCTCAATATACTTGGATATAAGGTCTCAAGCTCCCTGAAACTTGTAGACATTTCCAGTGGGAAGCCAATTGGAAATAAAAATATTGACCACATACCTCTCTTCTGTGGCCACCATCACTAACCTACAATATGCATTATTCCCCGTCTTCTGCACTCGCCAGCACACACACACATGTAGATGAAAAGCCAGGGGGAAAGTAAGGGAGGGTCAATGTGGTAGAGAATAACAAGAGATTATAATAAAGAGCCTGACTGTTTTTGATGTTTGGCCACTGGCAGTTATCAGGCCCCAGCTTCTTCCCTTGTGCCCCACATCTGGACAGACTGAGCTTTTTTAAAGCTCATTTATCGGTAAACCTTGGCCTAGCTTGTGGAAACCTTTACCCCAGCCCCACACCCAAATCAAACTAAAAAGAAAAGCCACCCACCACCCCCTTCACTTCAGTCAAACGGACCAGCTTAGGTGCCTTCCCTGCCCTCCTCAGAAAGGCTTACCATGTGAGCACTGAATCTTTTCATATCCCCTCGGTGCACGTGTGGAATCATCAGTTTCAACATCCAAACCAATTTTGGGTGAATGGGATGGATCCCGCCCTCCTCTCAGGAGCCACGAGACAGTTGCAGGGACACTGTAGTTAATTAACCTGGGAAGCCTTGGAGGGAAGACCACTGAGGATGAGCCCTGAAGTAGGAGTTGGAGGGAGCAGAATCCCAGGTAGTGGGAGTGACAAGTTCAGATACCATGAAGCAAGTGTGTGTGTGTGTGTGTGTGTGTGTGTGTGTGTGCGCACGTACATGCACGCATTCAGTCGTGTCTGACTGTTTATGACCCTGTGGACTGTAGCTCACCAGGCTCCTCTGTCCACAAAACTCTCTAGGCAAGAATACTGGAGCAGGTAGCCATTTCCTACTCCAGGGGATCTTCCCGGTCCAGGGATCAAACCCGCATCTCTTGCATCTCCTATATTGACAGGTGGATTCTTTATCACCAGCAAGAGTTGGCTGCTATTATAAGGGACACAAGCAGAGCCCAGTTGGTTATGGGGAGAGGTGGGGACCAGGCAGGAGTCAACTCTGTGAAGCCTTGTAGGTTATAGCAAGGAGTTTAGACCTTATTCTACATAGAGAAGAGATTGTCTACCGAATCCATGTAACACGTGTTCATGAAGGCTCCATGTACATAGTTTTATTTCACCAGGGTGTTTCTTTAATAATTCAAGGCCAAAAATGTTTTCCTTTGCCCCCCTCTTTTATTGTAGGTACCTGGCTGTACAGAAATGAGAGCGACAAGGTCCTGGTGCAATCAGTCTGCATTCAGATAAGAGGGCAAATTCTGCAGAAGTTGGGTACAGTCATCCTCTCAAGTCTCATTTACCAAGTCTGGCTAAGAGATTCTACTGTGGGCTTTTCTCATTGTATCTGGTTGATATTGTTCTACTTCCCTTAGTTTTCTCATCAAAAAGAGACTGACACTTAAGATGCCAGGAATATTATGAGCATTAACAAAACAAAATAGTTTTCTGGTGAGTTTTGTTAAAGAAACTTACGTTTCTATATTGTGACTTTTCTTGGTACTATTTCTGGCATCTGGCTGTCAGTTGAGCAGGACTCCATGTGATAAGTGACTCTCTTATTCTAAACCTATGCTGACAACTGGGCTTCCCAGATGGTGCTAGTGGTAAAGAATCCACCTGCCAATGCAGGAGATGCAAGAGACACGAGTTCAGTCTCTGGGTCAGGAAGATCCCTGGAGTAGGGAATGACAACCCACTGCAGTATTCTTGCCTGGAAAATCACGTGGGCAGAAGAACCGGACAGGCCACATACCGTCCATGGGGCTGCAAAGAGTCAGACATGACTGCATGCATACACACACCATGATAACTTACCTGTTTGTTCCTTGGAGGGCATTTCTGAGTTTTACTAGCAAAGCTTAGAGGACCTTAACTGCATTTTAAAATGCAATGTATGTGAAATGTATTTGAAACTACTGTATTTGAAATTTTTAAACAGAAGATGGTAATTGTTATCTTGAAAATAATGGAGATAATCATTTATATATTAATATATTTCATATGCACACATGTGATATGTAATATTTCTTACTGTTTCCCTGTGAACAGGAGAGATTATCTGTATTAAACCAACCAGAAAAGCAGATTGTTGTTTTTTTAGCAGGTTGCTGTCTGCTCATTGCTGTCAATCTCATCTAGTTGTAAATTTTCTTACAAAATGCAAAACCCATCTTTCTGTGTTAGTTTTTAAAAGTATTTTATAAAAAAATAAATAAATAAATAACAGTATTTTCTGACACAAGAGCACAGATACTAGCAGTTTATCCTGTCTCCTTTTTTTGCAGGGATGTGGTATGAAGCCGCAGAGTTAATATGGGCCTCAATCACGGGATACCTGACACTTCCTCAGCCAGATAAAAAGGTTATTTGTCTCGTGTTTATTTTCTCATTTTCTATATTTGCCTTTGGAAAGTTATTACCTTATGGCACAATTGAGTTTATCATTTATCAATTTTATTGGTTATATTTTTGTTGATTCTTCTGCTTTATTGACTATGCCAAATCCTTTGACTGTGTGGATCACAGCAAACTGTGGGAAATTCTGAAAGAGATGGGAATACCAGACCACCTGACTGCCTCCTGAGAAATCTGTTTGCAGGTCAAGAAGCAACACTTAGAACTGGACATGGGACAACTGACTGGTTCCAAATTGGGAAAGGAGTATGTCAAGGCTGTATGTTGTCACCCTGTTTATTTAACTTATATGCAGAGTACATCATGAGAAATGCTGTACTGGATGAAGCACATGCTGGAATCAAGATTGCTGGGAGAAATATCAAAACCTCAGATATGCAGATGACACCACCCTTATGGCAGAAAGCGAAGGAGAACTAAAGAGCCTCTTGATGAAAATGAAAGAGGAGAATGAAAAAATTAACTTAAAGCTCAGCATTCAGAAGACGAAGATCATGGCATCTGGTCCCATCACTTTATGGCAAATAGATGGGGAAACAGTGGAAACAGTGACAGACTATTTTATTGGGCTCCAAAATCACTGCAGATGGTGATTACAGCCATGAAATTAAAAGACGCTTACTCCTTGGAAGGAAAGTTATGACCAACCTAGACAACATGTTATAAAGCAGAGACATTACTTTGCCAACAAAGGTCCATCTAGTCAAAGCTATGGTTTTTCCAGTAGTCATGTATGGATGTGAGAGTTGTACTATAAAGAAAGCTGAGCGCTGAAGAATTGATGCTTTTGAACTGTGGTGTTGGAGAAGACTCTTGAGAGTCCCTTGGACTGCAAGGAGATCCAACCAGTCCATTCTAAAGGAAATCAGTCCTGACTATTCATTGGAAGGACTGATGCTGAAGCTGAAACTCCAATACTTTGGCCACCTGTTGCAAATAATTGACTCATTGGAAAATACCCTGATGCTGGGAAAGACTGAAGGCAGGAGGAGAAGAGGATGACAGAGGATGAGATGGTTGGATGGCATCACCAACTCGATGGACATGAGTTTGAGTAAACTCCGGGAGTTGGTGGTGGATAGGGAAGCCTGGCATGCTGCAGTCCATGGGGTCACAAAGAGTCGGACACAACTGAGTGACTCAGTGACTGAGCTGAACTGAACTGAACATAGACATAGGACCAGGATGGACTTCCCTGGTGGCACAGTGGTAAAGAATCCACCTGCCAATGCAGGAGTCTCGGGTTCAATCCCTGGGTTGGAAGGATCCCCTGAACAAGAAAATTCAGCCCTCTCCAGTATTCTTGACTGGGAAATCCCATGGACAGAGGAGTCTGGTAGGCTACAGTCCATGGGGTTGCAAAGAGTCAGACATGACTGAGCATAAACATGAATGAAAGAACAATAGGACCAGAAACATTTAAAAGCTCCCTCTCTGTCCTGCTCATCCTTACTGACAGCTGGACTCCTGGCATGTATTTAGTGTTTCTCTATATATTTGCAACTATCTGTTTGTATATTTATTTCTACTTATCCATTTATTTCTACTGGTATTGATTTTATTATATATTTAGCCTTCACCTCATTCCATAACAAAGTTGGGATGGCTCAACTGCATCTCAATTTGGTTAATTCTCCTTTGGTAAAATCATTCTCCTTTGGTTAAGTGGGGAAAGACCTCAGCTGTTTACATAGCATCTTTATTTGAGAAATTGAGAAGCAACATTATCTTTCCTTGATGTACTCATCCTCTGTGACTCTGTGAGAATATTCTCCTCGTTAACTGAAGCTTTGGGTTACACATTTCCCTGAACTGTGTCAGCAACGCTGCTGCCTACAATCGTTTTAACAACACAAGTGGAGTTGGGGGTGGGGACTCTTGCTTGGGTCAGTTCTTTATACCTAGCATTGTGGACCAGTTCATGTTGACTATCGAGCAAAGCCCTGCTAAGAAATAGCTGAGTTTACATTATATCCTGTCCTCAGGATATGATAGTCTTTCAAACCCAGTGACATCCAGTCGAGAAGTATCTTCAGAGTCATAATAAGAAATGATAATAATAAGCAGTGGTTCATATGGAGGGCTAGTCGTTGACTTTGGGACTTGAGAGCAAGAATTGACTGTAAGTTCCTCATCTGTGTTTTGTTTGTATTTCCTTACAGGGCATTTCCACGTCACTAGGTATATTGGCAGACATCTTCATCTCCATGAGCAAGAAAGATTATGAAAAGTTTAAAAGCAATCCTGACATTAACCTGGTAATCATCACTTGGCAAAACTATGGTGCAGAGCGGCATCACCTCCAAAACTGTCAGTGTTATTTTTGGCTAGTTCTCTCTTCAGGAGTCAGGGAGCACAGTATCTCCCCTCTTCAAGTAATGTGAAAAAGCCTGAGGAACAGCTCCTATGTTGTCCCATTTGACTTTATTACCCCAGCACTTAGCACAGCACCAGACCTACAGAGGGTACTAGGGGAAAAAAAAGACTTGATGAATGAATGAATGAAAGAAATCAAAGTGATAAATGCTTTGAACCCATGATTTCCTTTCAGATTATCACAAAATTCAGTTTCCACACTTGGACTCTCTCAATGACAAAGTAAGAGAGTAATAACTTTAAGACTTTAATTACAGTCTGTCCAAATCACATCAGTTGCTTGTCTGTATGTAATAATAATGATTATGAATGTTTATTTATTGTTTTATAGCTCAAAAAGTGTGTGTACATATGTATGTGATCCACACACACCATATCTACCTAGGCATAAGGTAGAGCAGAATGTGTCACTCCCATTTTAGAGGAAAGTAAACTGAGGTCTAGAGAAACTGGGTGACCTCCGCAACCTGCACAGTCAGTAAGAAAGAGAGCTGGGAGCAGAAGCCAGATCTCTAACCCGTTCAGAGCATTGCATAGACACTGACTGTTCTCCTGTACCGCACTCAAATGGACATTTTTAATAGTGTCATCAACAGTGCCTTTTTTCAAATACCAAAACAACAGTAGTAACTGTACTCAGTACTAATTAGTATAGCATAAGAACCCATATAGCTTGCTGCTTGTTCTCTGAAGCTTAGCAAAATGTTGCTTTAGCTATCGGACAGACCAAAACACAGGAAAGGGGTTATGTTCCTTGTTCAGTGAAGTTCAGAGGATTGTTTAAAATTGCAAACTGCCCTTCCGCCTTGGACCTCCTTGACCTCTTCTTGCTGTATTTTTCTCTGGAACACTTATTGCCATCTCAAATATTACACATTTTACTTATTTTGTATAGTGATTGATCCCCTCCCCTTGATAGAAAATAAGCTCATTGCAGGCTCACTGTCTCCTCTCTCCTTCATGACCAGAACAGTGCTTGACACATGGGGATACTCAATACATATTTCTAGAATAAATGAATGAATCTTAATTGCTATGAAATTGTACGTTAAAGGCTTCTTTGCCAAGAACAATGCATAAATCATTAGTGAATCAGACTGAAACACTCAGAGTTCTGTGAACAGAGAGCTGCATGATCCTCTGAAGAAACTTGTCTGAATTACTCTGCGTGGGCAAGCACTGTGAATGTTGGCACGTATGAGGCTCTCTCTGTGGTGTGAGTTGGGGATGGATGGTGTGTGGGTGTCGGGGAAAGGATGGTCAGTGCTCTGGGGTCTTTACCCACTTACTCTCTCTTGGCACTGTTCTGAAATGGTTGTGATGAGGCTCAGGGCACCTCTCAGAACCTTGAATGAAAAGCAAAGGAATTTTATAGCCTGTCTTTTGCTAGCGGGTAAATCATTGTCAGCAGTACACTCGGCCTCTTGTCTTCTCACAGCACGCTTGGCCTCCTGTTCCCTTGCAGGGCCTGCTGCACGAGTGTGACCACCACTTGCTGTCAGCCGCTGAAGCCTGCAAGCTGGCGGCTGCCTTCAGCCCCTACACGCCCCTCTTTGTGCTCACGGCTATGGTAAACAGGGCGAAGCCCTCCTTGCTCCTCTCCCCAGAGACAGACATCTCCAGGGGAGGGAAGAGTCTAACCCTAAGATAGGATTCGTGTGCATCCTTAGATAATTGTGAGCGGACTTCATGTACGTAGAGGTCATATCAGTCAGAGTAGTGACAGCCTGCTGATGGGGAGCTAAGTTACTGCAGCCGGAGGATATGATGTCATCTGCTATAGAACACGGGCTCCCAAGCATGTCTGCTGCTGCCGCTAAGTCACTTCAGTCGTGTCCGACTCTGTGCGACCCCATAGATGGCAGCCCACCAGGTTACCCCGTCCCTGGGATTCTCCAGGCAAGAGCACTGGAGGGGGTTGCCATTTCCTTCTCCAATGCATGAAAGTGAAAAGTGAAAGTGAAGTCGCTCAGTCGTGCCCTTTCAAAATACACATTCTTTGGCTCTACTCTAAATCCACTAAATGTAAAGGCCTGGTAGTCTTACCTAGAAATCATTCATTATGGAATACCTCCCAGGTGATTCAAATACCCAGAGGGATTTGGAAGCCACAAGTCTATTGTTTTGACCATCAATAAACAAATTATGCGTTTGTATATAACAAAATTATTACGTCCATGTCCCATGTTTAGACTCTGTTTGCTAAAACTAACATTAGCAGCAGTGACAGCAATTTTATCATCTTTGATCAAAAGTATCAGGGCTACAGTAGGATGGAAGCTAAAGCTAATTTCTTACCCCTTCGTGCCAACCAATCACATATGTCCTAGTCCCATCCCCTGAGTTATCAAAAAGATCACAGGTCCTTGACTCAATGTTTATCTATTTTTATTAGAATATCCATGGCACATGTTTTTTTTAAAAAAGAAAAAAACTATTTCTAATGACTGCCCTCCAGGAATGAAAACTTTTCCCTGATTCACTTCCAGTTTCTAATTCAGTGTCTGATTCTGTATCTGATGTTTTCCTCAGAATATTCGTGGCACTTGCCTGTTGTCATATAGTAGTTCTAAGGACTGTCCTCCAGGCATGAAAAATTCATATCTATGTGAAGCCAAAGAAGCCTTTGAAATTGGCCTCCTCACCAAGAAACGTGATGAACCAGTTACTGGAAAACAGGAGCTCCATAGTTTTCTTAAAGCTGCTTTTGGTCTCACTACTGTGCACCACAGACTCTCTGGGGAGATGGAGACTGTCCAAACAGCAAGTCAGCTCTGTAGCGAAGCTATGGGAAAGCTGTATACTTTCAGCAATTCCTCCGGAAGTCAGGAGAGAGAAGCTCTCTCTCAGGAAATCATGTCTGTTATCACCCAGGTGAAGGAACAGTTACAAGTTCAAAGCTTCTCAAATTTAGATGACAAGTCTTACGTTCCCGAGGGATTCAAGTGTGGGTTAGAGAAGCCCATCTTACATGGGCAAGTGGATTTCCAAAAAATCCTTGAAGCCTATTCACAGCACCACACGTCAGTGTGTGAAATATTTGAAAGCACTTGTGGAAACAGCAAAAATAAACAGAAAGGCATGAAAACAGGAGTCTGTATCACTGATCTAAAAACAGAAACAAAAAACATAGATACCGTGAGTGCCACTGAGGACAGACCACATTTTGAAAAAGGCATAGTAATATCTTCCTCCCGAATTGCAATGAACAGTCAGGAGAAACTCAGGAGGGTGGGAAGGAGAAACTGGGTGGGTTCTGACGCATTTCGAGTCTCCGTGGATGAAGATGTGGAGACCGAAGCTGAGTCAACAGACCACAGTAGTGGTGGGGGAGCTGTTCTGAACAAGTCTCTGAGTGACAGCCAGAGCTCCAGTTCTTGGAGCAAGTTATCAGGGTACAGATCTTCTACAAGCTGGGAGGAAGTAAATTATCATGTTGACGATATGTCCGCCGGAAAAGAGCTTAGCAAGGAAAAGCATCTTGTGGACACTCAGTGTTCTACTGCCCTGTCAGACGAGCAGGAGGTGAATGGGGCCAGCAGAGTTGAGCATCCACTGTCTTCAGAGCTTCATGGTCTCTCTCTCCAGGTGCCCAAGGATGACAGTTTAGAGTCTTCTCAATGTCAGCTGCACAAGCCCATGCCCTCGGCAACCTTCCCACCTCATAACACAACAGACATTTCACTGGCCTCTGGTGGAGGGTGGTTTAAAGGAGGTAGGCAGGAAGTTGGAAATGTGGGGTCCAGAAATACTTCTGCTCATTCCAGACCCTCATTTTGTTCTGCTTCTTGGACTTCTGATTCTGGTTGGCCTAAGAACATGGCCACATATCCTTCCATCCAAGAAGAAGAAACCTTTGAAACACTTGATGAATTTCGAGAAATCAACGGTGACGCCAAGCACGGGGATGAAGAAGAGAAGAGAGAAGAAATCAAAGGAGGCACAGGTCCTGCATTTAAAGATAGCCCCTGCTGGGTTGACCCAGAAGGAAAAATAGTGGAAAGAGCAGAAGATGTTCCTGTAGACTTCCACTCAGTCGTGGACGAGTCTCTGGACAAAAGTTCCATGGTAGCATGTAACTCTGTCACCCTTCATTGGCTTGTTCAAAACCCTAACTCAGGAAAAAATGGTCACTCAGTCAGAGAGCAGGGCACTGACCCTGATGCCTCCACGGTGGGTGAGGAGAGCCCGCTGCGGGGCACTGCAGATGTTCACACCACGAGCACACGTGGCTCCCCTCGATCGTGCACTTGGAAGCAGCCACACACTCAGGGAGCCCAGATCCCCAGTTCCTCAGTAAGCAGTAAGCCTTCCAGCCCTGTCCTGAGCGAGGACTGCACTACCACGGAGGAAGCAAATGAACCTGGAAACCTGCTCAACTGCAGCCAGAACTCCAGCTCATCCTCAACTTGGTGGCTGAAATCACCGGCAATCTCCAGTGGTTCTTCTGATGGAGAAAATCCATGGTCTTTTCTGAATTCCAGTGGAAGTTCTTTTGTTTCATTGCCAGGAATGACAAAGCAGGCGATCCTTGAGGCCCGCACCCTGCAGCCTGATGACTTTGAAAAACTCTTGGCAGGAGTGAGGCATGATTGGCTGTTCCAGAGACTGGAGCATACAGGCGTTTTTAAATCCAGCCAACTCCACGGAGCACATAGTAAGTACGCCCTTTCAGGAAGCATCTCTGTATGTTGAGGGCCCTCTGAAGTTTCTGTTCTATGGATCACTTAAAGCTCATGAAAGATATAGACACCTGTGATGCTTTGTGAGTATACAGAGAAAGATGTAGTTCAGGGACCTCTTCTCTCTGTGTGTGATGGGCTCTAAAGGTTGCAAAGAATAGACACTCACTCAGGCTGCCTCACACATTGGAGATGTGCTACATAGGCAGTAAGGGAGGATCTTACAGAACGTGGGAGCAGTCATCAGTCAGGTTTGAAACAGCTCTGGATGCCTTATATACTCATTGATCATATATACTCCATTGATCCTCATTGCCACAGCTGGTTTTTCTCTGTTTCCCATTCAAAACACCAGGGGATGGAGTTTGACCTAGTTACACAGCGTCCTTCTAGCAAGCGCTCGTCATGTCCGCACCTATGCTGAGCGGTTTCTTGCCAGGCACTGCATTGATCGTGTGCGTTTAGCAGCTGCTTCCTGCCTCAGGAACAGCACAGGGAAGCCTGAGCCGGGGCCTCCCACCAGCCAGCGTGTCTAACCCAGCTTAGAAGTGGTGGAGAAGCTGGGGAGAAGACCAAAGAAGGTTCTTCTCTTAGACCAGAGGATCACATTATAATATCCTCCAAGGTACTGAAGAATTATTTGAATGAGAAAAAAAAACTTGCAGAATGCCTATCAGAGGAAACAGGCTATGTGGATTGCTAAGCACTGGATACTAAAGTAGTAGTTCTCAACACTGGTGCCACATGAGGATCTCCCAAGAGGCTTTTTAGCTCTTTAAAACTTCTAATCCCTCACCCCAGAGGTTCCGGTCTCATGAGTCTATGGTGTGGGTCCAGGCATGTGTATTTTTTAAGAGCTCCCCAGTGATTTTTGTATAAAGTCAATGTTAAGAACTTCTGCTTCAAAGTATTTCAGTGTTTTACCTGCCACCTTGAAGTCAGAGTAAAAGATCAAGTTGTTGCCAAAAGAAGCAAAATTTTCTAGTAAAAGGGTTTCCCTGCTTTCTGTGAGGGTCTGCAGTTTCAAAGTCCCATTTCTGAGAGTTAGGGAGCTGCTTTATTGTTTTGTCTGCATGCCACTTTATGGGTGAAAAAGCACATGGGAGGAAGCAAGCCCCAAAGCTGAAGAAACTGGACAAGTTATGCATCTGCTCCTTGCTTCTTCCCTTAGTTCACTGCCCTTTCTACATGTGTGGACATGCAGTTCGCCTTCATTCCCTTCCCCAGCTTCTCTGATTGAGTCACCCAACCCTGAGCATCATCTCTCCACAACCTCAGTTGTCTCCTTCCTCCCCATCCCAGACCTGTGGGCTTACCTCACTTTAAGTACTCTCTTTTCCTGAGTCTCCTGCTCATGTATTCATTACCACAACCTAGTCACTGGAGGTCCTTGTTCACTTTAACTTGGATCTCAAAAGGTTGCATTTCTTTCTTAGGATTCATGTTGGGTCTTCCCCCTCAAAGAGATCCTTTCTTGCTCACACTGGTCTTCCTTTCTTTAAGGTGAAAACAACCCTTATTTTTTCCTCTTTATCTTTTTCTTTTTCAGTTGAGTTTTCATCTTTGTACAGTAGCTATATTTTCTCAGTAATTCCTGGACTTTCCCAGCTTAAAATATGTAAGAGAAAATTAGGTTGAGCTTTCATATGTAATCTAGGATCCCTGGAGTTGCCAGGAACTTTTGGAGTAAACTTATTCAACTGACTTCTATCTATGTGATCTCACATAGGTAGCAGCCTCTTTTATTTGAGATTCCCAGATAATCAGAGGAAGGTGTATTCACATGTCACTTGTTTTAAGATGGTCTCTGGGCTTTTGCTGTTTGAAAAGCCCTTTTATTTTTCATTACTTTCATACAGAAGCTCTGGCCTTAATACCTTGCCATTACAAACAAGAGATTTTGTAAATCAAAGGTAATTTTAATTGTAATTTCTCAAATTTTACCTTTTTATTGTACTTCACTAACTTTTTAGTAATAGTCATGGAGCAGGATAAAATTTGAGAAAATATATTAAAAAGTTGAATATTTCAAATGAACACAGATTGGTACCTGTGTTGCAATTCATCTTATCTGTGAATTACAAGATCTTTTTGAAAGATAAGGTCAATATTCATCTTATCTTTTATTCAAGGTGCTCTTTTGTTAAAATATTCCAAGAAATCTGAACTGTGGACAGCCCAAGAAACTGTTGCATATTTGGGGGACTACCTACATGTGACAAAGAAAGGCAGACAAAGAAATGCATTTTGGGTACATCACCTTCATCAAGAAGAAACTCTGGGCAGGTATTGCTTAAAAACATATATAATAATGTATAATGGGATGATTTGTCCCTTCTGTTAAGTAATTGTTTATGAGACTATAAAAGGGCTGGAAAAAGTGGCTAAATGTTTCCTAATTCAGCTCCTTTTCCTCTTCCTCATTAGCTAATTGATAACAGTTACCATAGATGGTTGGGTGGCATCACCGGTTCAACAGACATGAACTTGGGCAAACTCCAGGAGATGGTGAGGGACAGGGAGGCCTAGTGTGCTGTAGTCTGTGGAGTCACATGTAGTCCAAAAAGTCAGACATGACTTAGCAACTGAGCAACCACCACCATGGATAGAGAACCCACACTATGTCAGCCATTGGGCTGGATGTTTTAGATACATGATTTTAAACCCCTTGGAGAACATTAACCCCATGGTACAGATAAGAAAAATAGAGTTTCTTGCCATATGACAACTCAGAGAGTCTTGTACACTCTCATTGAAAATGCTGGCAAAAAAGGGTAGTTAAACCATGCAAGCCACACTTCTGATTAAATGAGTGAGCCTGGGAAAAAAGGCACAAAACTCCTCTGAGGCCAGTAACGAAACATATTCAGGGATATAAGTGAATGCTGAATCCTTAAGACACCTCTCTGTAGAGGTTTTGGGCAGGGGTGGGATGAGGGAGCAACTAGTGACAAAAGTTACGCATGAAAGGGGATGAGTGGAGAGACCGCTGATATAAAGCATTGACTCAGGAATGGCTATATCCTCAAAAACAAACCAAAAAAAAAGGTTAATTAAAAAAATGCCATGTCACTGAAGCAAGTAACCTAGAAAGATTTTTTGCTTGGCCTTAATTCTTGATGACAACTTTAAGCAAAAACTCACCTACAAATTAGTGATCACAGGTGGTCCTCGTTTGGTATAAGGCCTAATTTTATACCACATGTATATTTTAAAGAACCTATAGAGCAAGACTTTTAAAGTAGACCTTGCTCTTTTCCCAAATCTAAAAAATGTAAGAAATAAATAGGAAGAGAAAAAAAAGAGAGAAATCGGGAAATTCTTAAATAGTAGAAATACATTTCTTGAAAAGGATGTTGATGATAATAACAATAGTAAACATGTAAATTTCATGTGCCAGGCCCCTGTTTTCAGTCATTTATATACTAAATTAATCAATCCTCACAAAACCCGATGAGATAGGTACTATTGTTATCCCCATCTTACAGATGAGGGAGCTGAGACACAGAGATGTTAAGAAACCTCCCCAAGTTCGCACATCAAAGTGGTGGAGCCAGGTGATACAGGTATAATTGTGTTCCCCCCCACCCTAAATTCAAGTTGAAGTTGTAACCCTAAGTAACTTAGACTGTGATCTTATTTGGAAATAAAGTCACTGCAGATGTAATTAATTAAAATGAGATTAAACTGGAGTAGGGTAGACCCAGAATCTACTACAACTGATATCCTTATAAAAAAGAGGAAATTTGGAGATAGACACACACAGGGAGAATGCATGTGAAAACTGTAGCTATATGGCCACCAAGCCCGAACTGTCTGGAAATTTTGACAGTCTGGAAAAGCTCCTTCCCTTGCATCTTCAGAGGGAGCATGACTCTGCTGACACCTTGACCTTGGACTTGTAGACTCTAAAACTATGAGGAATCAATTTCTGTTGCTTAAGCCACCCAGTTTGTGGCACTTTGTTACAGCAATCTTAAGCAACTAACACACCAGGATACATGATAGGAGCATCTGAGATGGGATATAAAAGAGAGAAGAGACATGGAAGATGGAGCAAGAGGGTCTAACATACATCTGATCAGAAAAAGACAACAGAGCAAATAGGAAAGAATTATTATTTTAATAAATCATTTCTGATAGTTTTCCAGAATTGCCCAAATATATTGATCTTCAAATACAGGAATCACAATGAGTCCTGGATAGTATAAAAAGTGTTGTACATATATTAGGAAGTATTTGTAGAGATGAAGAAAGTATTTGTAGGATAGAAAGCAAGTATTTGTAGAGATGAAGTAATCACAAAAGGAAGGGGGAGAGGAAGGCTTCTGATTCATCCGTTGACCTGTATAAGGTCATGTTGCAGTCAGCGAAAGATTTGGTTCCAGAGTCCATGTGTTTTCCAGCACCCTGGCTGGTTTTCTAGACTTACCCGCATCTGGTGAACTGCTACAACAAGTGAATATTTTCTCGTATAAGGAGAAAATAAATCGGTATCACCCCTGGGTCGATGTATTCATCAGGGTTCTCCAGAAACACGAAACCAATAAGATGTATGTGTGTGTGTGCGTGTGCGTGTGTGTGCGTGTGTGTGTGTGTGTGCGCGCGCGCGCATGTATGCTGTGCTGTACTTAGTCACTCAGTTGTGTCTGACTCTTTGTGACTCCATAGACTACAGCCAGGCTCCTCTGTCCATGGGGATTCTCCAGGCAAGAATACTGGAGTGGGTTGCCATACCCTCCTCCAGAGGATCTTCCCAACCCAGGGATTGAATCTAGGTCTCCCACATTTCAGACAGTTTCTTTACCATCTGAACCACCAGGGAAGCCCAAGAATACTGGAGTGGGTAACCTATCCCTTCTCCAGGGGTTCTTCACGACCCAGGAATCAAACCGGGGTCTCCTGCATTGCAGGAGGATTCTTTACCAGCTGAACTACCAGGGAAGCCCGTGTGTGTGTGTGTGTGTGTGTGTGTGTGCGCGCGCGCACAGAGATTTATTATTAGGACTTGACTCACATAATTATGGATGCTCTCAAGTTTCAGCATCTGCTGCTGACTGGATATTCAGGAGAGCTGATGATTAAACTTCCAACCCAAAGACCAGTGGGATTGAGACCCAGGAGGAGATGATGTTTCAGTTCAAGTGCAAGAGCAGGAAAAGACCAGTGTCCCGGGTCAGAGGCAGTCAGCAAGAAGAATTCTCTCTTACTTGAAATAAGCTCAGCCTTCTGTTCTATTTGGCCCTTCAGTTGATCGGATGAGGCTCCCCCACACTAGGGAGGGTAGTCTTCATTACTCAGTCTATTGATGTAAATGTTAGAATCATCCAGAACACCCTCACAGAAACACTCTGAATAGTGTTTGACCAAATATTTGGCACCCCGTGGTCAAATAAAGATGACACATAAATGTAACCATCAGGCAGCTAGTATGAATTGTGTTCCATTGTTCAGCGTGCTCTTAAAAATTATCTGAGTCATGAGATAAGATAATATTAACTAAGATAGAGAAAAAGTAACATCTCTCAAGCATTTTTGCATCTCTCTGTTAGTCTCCTCTCTTACTCTAGAGTAGGATCACTTTGCATTTCTTGCTGTGGCTTTTCTGCATTCACAGATATGTTGGGAAAGAATATAAGGAGCAAAAGGGGCTCTGGCACCACTTCACTGACGTGGAGAGGCAGATGACCGCACAGCACTACGTGACAGAATTTAACAAGAGACTTTACGAGCAGAATATTCATACACAGATATTCTACATACCATCCTCAGTATTGCTGGTAAGATTAAAGAAATCAAGGGTATGATTAAACACGTCTAGAAATATATTTTGAGGCTTCCCAGGTGGCACAGTGGTAAAGAATCCACCTGCCAATGCAGGAGACTTGGGTTCGATTCCTGGGTCGGGAAGATCCCCTGGAGAAGGAAATGGCAACCCACTCCAGTATTCTTGCCTGGAGAATCCCATGGACAGAGGAGCCTGGTGGGGTACAGTCCACAGGGTCGCAAAAGAGCTGGACATGACTTCGTGACTGAACAACCACAGTGCTCCTAAGTGGCGAAGCCTGAGTTCAAAGGCTGAGATCGGCTGACCTCAAAACCGATGGCTTTCACCATTGTTATTCTGTCTCCTGTTTCTATTTTTCAGATTTTAGAAGGCAAGACAATAAAAGGATGTGTCAGTGTGGAACCTTACATGCTAGGGGAATTTGTAAAATTATCAAATAACACAAAAGTGGTGAAAACAGAATACAAAGCCACAGAATACGGCTTGGCTTATGGCCACTTTTCTTATGAATTTTCCAATCATAGAGATGTTGTAGTTGATTTACAAGGTATGTGAAACTGGGAGTTATTTTTTATTTTAGTATTATTTATATGTAAATGTGAGGTTTTATAACTAGCTTTGCTAGTCATTATTTAATAGGTTGTTTAGTGCTATTTGGAATGAATCAGTCTTGCTGTATAAACTAAATGATGCATGGGAAAAATTTCTAAAGCTTCTACAAGTGTCTAAGGGCATAAGATAATCAGTGAGAAGATCTGGCTCACATTTTGTTGAGCTTATTTCTAGGGCAAATCCATAACAGTTTTCTTTTTAAATTTTACTCAGGTGGATTTGGGTGATATGGGTTTCTTATGATTGTGTGTTTTAATATGTCAAGTCTTCCCACACTTTCTTTGCTCTAGCCCTTTACCTTCACTACAGGTGTGATATTGGGTTTCATAACTGGGATCGTTATGGAACAGCAAGCTGTATACCTGAATCTAGCTTCCTTTAAAATCTGCATTAATATGTAAATTTTATTTCAGTTCAGTATTTTATCTAACAGAATTATTAGCCATCATTCTGTACTTTATTTAAATGATAAATGTGTCTTGTTATGATTATTTCTAATAATAATCCTCCAAGATTTTTTCTATCCCCTATCCATCGCATTTACCATCACTCTGTGTTATATATTTTGCTTACTTATATCATTGATTGATCTTCACAAGAATGTGACACCAAGAACAGAGATTTTTTTACTAACTTGTTCACAAAACACAATAGTGTTTTGCACAGTGTGTACACTCAATAAGTATTTGTTAAATGAACAGAGGAATGTATGAATTAATGAGTAAGGCATTAAAGAAACTTCTGAATCATGAAAGAAAAAATATTCAATGGGATTTAATAATTACTTTAAGTGCATGCTACTGCTAATTCCTTGAAAACTGGTTGTCTGGGCATATCATATTTGACAAATTTAATTACCCAATATTCAATTCTTCTTAGACCAATAATTGGAATATGCAACACCAGATCCCTTAGCAGAAATTTATTAATCATCAACCATAGGGCTTCCCTTGTAGCTCAGCTGGTAAAGAATCTGCCTACAATGTGGGAGACCTGGGTTCAATTCGTGGGTTGGGAAGATCCCCTGGAGAAGGGAAAGGCTACCCACCCCAGTATTCTGGCCTGGAGAATTCCATGGACTATATATAGCCTGTGGGGTCACAAAGCGTCGGACTCAACTGAATGATTTTCACACAATAGGATGACCAAGTTACAAAATGGCTATTTCACTATATGTATATTATATTTTTCTGAAGCACTTTGCTAAAATTTATAGAGGATTTAATTATCAGACATATTTATTTCTTTTTTAGGTTGGGTGACTGGGAATGGAAAAGGGCTCATCTACCTCACAGATCCCCAGATTCACTCTGTTGGTCAGAAAAATGTCACTACCAATTTTGGAGAGAAAGGAATTTTTTACTTCTTTAATAACCAGCATGTGGAATGTAATGAAATATGCCATCGTCTTTCTTTGACAAGACCTTCAATTGAAAAACCAAGTAATTCATAGACTGTCTGGAGCAGTAGTGACCACTCAATGCTGCTCACCAATGCTGGGTTCTCCTCTCCTTCCAGACACACAGATTATGGCCCAGCCTGGTCCTTGGGTTCAGGTGGGGCCATGGGACTGGTTCTAGCCAATAATTTTTGAGAGGAATTGAAGAGTATCTTCTTCAGGCCAATATTCAATTGCCAGTGCAACACTTACAGAGTCTCTTTCCCTCTGCTCTATTGCCAGAATACATCAGAAGTCCCACAATGAGAAAAACACAGGAAAGAGGTCCAGCTGACCACGATGAACATGAAGCACATCTGAGAAATAAGCTTTTCTAGCTGAAGCCATCGAGATTTGGGGACTTTAGTCACTATCCATCAAGACTGATACTTTTAGCGTTTGGGAATTCTTTATAGATATATATTAAAGAATTCAGGCCTTTGTGATATGCATTCCAATTTTTTTGTCTTTTGACTTTGTAAGAAACTTTTTTTCCAGGCAGAATTTGTTTTATACAGGTGAATTCATCAGTCTTTTATTTTATGGTTTCTAGGTTATATGTCATCCATAGAGCTTCCCTCCTCTGAGTTTTGTTGTTGTTTTTTCTCTTTTACTTTTTTAATATTTATTTATTTTTAATTGATTGATAATTGCTTTACAATATTGGTTTGATTTCTGTCCTACATCAACACGAATTAACCATAGGTGTACATATGTCCCGTCCCTCTTGAGTCTCCCTCCCACCTCCCGCCATCTCCACCCTGTCTAGGTTATTACAGAGCCCCAGTTTGAGTTCTGTGAGTCATAGCAAATTCCCACTGGCTGCCTATTTACGTATGTTAGTGTATGTGCATCCAGGCTACTCTCTCCATTTTTCTCACCCTCTCCAGCTTCTCCCGCACTCTTGTCCATAAGTCTGTTCTCCATGTCTGGGATTTTGTTATTTTTAACCCTTCATATTTTCTTCTAGCACATTTACATTTGCAGGAGATGTGAGGGAAGATGGCCACCACAGTCTGCCCTTGCACCGCACAGATGTGCTGCTTCATACAGGTTTGGAGAGCAGTGCTTCCACGATCTTGCTGAAGTTTACAAAAGAGATTGGTGAGATACTCCCTCATTGTACTTAGTCTTTGGGACTGCAACTGGTACACACTCTCTCCTTCCTCCATTATTCATTCTAAATTTCTCCTAACTATTACCTCAACAGATCTTAGTGCCTTATCTAGTGATGTGACTCAGACCTGCATACATGAACGTTCTGAGTTCTGAATTCTAGATGGTTGCACCTTTCTCAGTTTGAGGTTACTGCACATGTCTGTTTACAGTTGCAGCTAGAGCTGGTGCAAGCCACCCCTTTCTCTTGCCGTGAACACAGGTGGCTGACACCTCCAGCCTGCTCCCCGTCCGGATCCACCACTGTGGGCTCTCAGCCAGTGACCGAGTGAGACATGGACGCCAGGCTCAAAGTGCTTCTGACAGGGGGTGGCACAGAATCTTCCCATTGCCAGACCAAAGCTTTCTCAGAACTCTGCTGTAATCTCTGCTATGACCTCCCGTCTGTTCGCCCTCCCCATTCACAGGGCCAGACCTCCATCATGGTCTCCCTGCATACTCCTGTTCTCTCTCATTTACCCTTTACAGTCATTTCTCTCAATAAATACCTTATATGTCTCACATTCCTTCTCAGCATTTGCTTCTTAAAAAACTCAAACTTCATTAAAGAAAATTTTTAAATTTTATCCTATTAACAAAATAATGGGGAAAATTAATCATTTCAAAGGTGAAGAAAAAATTATTTAATAACATTGAAAATCAATTTATGGTTAAAAAAAGCTCTTTGCAAATTAGACATAAAGAAAAACTTTCTGAATCTGAAAAAAGGTATTTTAACTTTTCTTTTGAACAGCAATATCATAATTAATAGTGAAACACTTAAAAGTTTTCATTTGAGAAAGGGAACAAGCAAATGTGCTTACTATCCCAAACATATCCACATCTGGAAAAATCAGAATATATATGTATACATATATATATAGTCTCCACCCCTGATTCCTGGCACAGAGCTCGTAAATCCCTTGGAATTTCCTCATAGGCAGGTCTCTTGTTATAATGAGGTGACTCTATACCTCTATAATAAATCAATAATAAAATAACATTTTGGGGACAATTGGAGATTTTTTAGTTTGTGTTGAGTATTAGATAAAAGTTAATGAAGTGATGTATTTTAAAAATACAAAAGCCAAAGAGAAGTGGAGAAATGAAAGAAGCTTGGCTCTTTCTTGATAGTGTTGAAGCCAAGTAGAAGGGTATATAAGGACTCGTTACACTAATCTTTCCCCTTTTATATATATATTTTTAAATATCTACAAAATTTTTTTAAAATGTGAGATCGCATAAAGGAAAAACTATCAAGAAAAATCCAATATATGTTGGACTGAGTAATTCTACTTCTACAAACCTCTAATGAGGAAATAAACAGAAATATGAACAAATGATTATACAAGTGTGTCTGTCATAACTTTGCTTATGATAGTAAAAAGCAAACAATTTTTCAACAGCAGAGAGATAGTTTTATATATTTAATTTATCCATATTAGTATTATTCATTCATTTAAATTGTATATTTTTTAAATATTTAATTACACACAAACTTTGAAGTAAAAAAGCAATCTCTAAAACAGCATTATAGTATTGATCATAATTTTGGTATCTATATATGTATGCAAATAGAAAAAATAATATATATATAATACATGGAAATCTTCATTGTGTTTTTCCCTGGCTAGTGAATTTGTGGTAGGGAATTTTATTTTCTTCTTTATCATCTATTTTTTCCAAGCTTTCTGCAATAAGCATGTATTACTTATACCAAAAAATAGTATTTAATGAGAAATTCAAATAATTCTCTTTTTTCAGCAGAAAATCCACATTATCAGATGATCATATAGTACTTTCTCCTTTAGCCCACTGCTACTCCCAGTCCTGTAATACACTCTTTAGGAACACCGAATTGCTTATCGCATCAGTTTGTAATCCACCCTGCGTCCTTCCACCCCAGCATGAAGACGCTTCGTAACTTGATAAGTGTTTTCATGTTTTTCTTATACGGACGGGGACAATTCCCCCCTGTATCTTCTCATCCTTGAGTACTCACCTCAACCGACACCTCCTTCAGAAAATCCTCCCTGATATCCATCATCCTCATTCCCTCCCTTTCCACAAGCTCGGTAACTTACCCCTCCTTTGACCTCCCCAAATAGCTATGCAGCTATCACTGCACAGGCCCAGTTATCATGGAAGCTAATTCACTCTTGTGTCATATTACCTACACTATAGGAGAATTATAATTATCTGTTGTATTATTTATGTTTTACTACATGACACATACCCCAAAACTTAGAGGCTAATAACCGCATTTATCTACCATCTCAAAGTTACTCAAGATGAAAAATTGGTGAGTGGCCCGGCTGAGTAGTGCTGGCTCAAAACCTCTCCTGAGGCCTGCTGTCGGACGTCAGTGGGACTGCAGTCACCTCAAAGTATGACTGTGACCAGAGCGTCTGCTTCCAGGCCCTCTCATGTGACTCTTGGCAGGACGCCTCTTCCTTGATGGCCGTTGGCCAGAGGCCTTAGTTCTTCACCACACGGGCCTGTCCGTATGACAACATGGCAGCTGGCTTAAGCCAGAGCAAAAAGTCCAAGCGTGAGAGAAGCTGAAGTCACAAGGTCTTTTATAACCTAGCTTCAGAAGTGACAAACCATCACTTTCATAATCTATTAGTCACACAGACCAACCCCGGAACGGCGTGGGAGGAGGTCAAAGGGCATGACCAGCCAGAGGCAGGAGTCACTTGGAGGCCAACTCGAAGGTGACTCTGTCTCACTGGCTTAAACTCAGTCTTGGGCCCCTTTGTATCCCCTACCGCACACTTGGGTATTATACAGTCTACTTAACAGTTGATGGTTCATTTTGTTTAAATCAGTGAGTAAATGAATGAGACATCAATGGCAATTCTGTGTATTTTCTATGCTCAATAAGTGCTTACTAGATAACTACCTCTTGCTACAATAAGGCAAGAGGCAACAGTAACCCATGTCTCAATTATAGAAGGAATCTCTGAGCACTCCAGCTTTCAGAAAGCCATTCTCCAATAAGGTGAGTTGTAGGTAGGTAAGTTGATGAGCAGAAAGATGGGGAAAGTTGGAAGGAAAGAAAGGCAAAATTCCCTCTAATCCTACCTCTCTGTTTATAAGGAAAATTATTTTGCTTCATTCTGTTTACCTTTTTCTAATTTTTTCCCCTATTCTTTAATTTCTCATAGCAAAATTGATATTAGGAAATTTTCAAGTAATTTTTATAAAAATTCCATTATAGTTCTTCTTTTTTTTTCCTTTCATTATAATTTTTCTAAAGCAAACTAAATCATTTTCATTGTATTCCCTTGTGTATAAAGTTGTGAAATGACAATATTTTAAAAGCTGAGTTTGAGGAGTTGAGTTCAATGTAAGGAGACTTAATTTCTGTCCCTTCAGACATCAAAAATGTCAGACTTTTAATACTGTCTTTCAGCACTGCTATTGTTTTGAAGATGATGCTTGTTCTGTGCAGTTTGGATATACAGATGTCCTCTGCCTGAACAGTTCAGTAGAAACTAGGTGTAAAGTGTAAGAAGCCAGAGAGAGTGAGAGAAAAAAAAATAAATCTCTTTATTATGGTGCATAAACCTTCAGTGTGAGGGAGCTTTGCAGCTGCGCAAGGAGAAAAATGCATTCAAAACGATAATGCCAGTGTGAATAATCCTTTCCCGAATGCTGCTTGCAGACTGCTCCAGCTTTGTCAGGTGAACTTGAACCAAGCCTTCAGATTGGCCCCCGTACCCACTGCACACCCTGTCTATCACCCCGGGGCATTCACCATCTTGACTGTTGTTTAAAGAGAACAAGCAATCCATCATTGAACCAGGGAGTCACTTTCTCATAGAAAAGTAAAATCAGCATGTGACACTACTCAG